TTGGAGGAGGAACAGTAACAGAGAGGATAATCAGCACAGATGCTACATTTAATGAGGTTATTACCTTTAAATTATACAGTATTATGCTATATTATGTTATACAGAACCTAGCTTAGGGCTTTGAACTTAGGAGGGATTCACTTATTTTTTGAATAGCATAGATTAAACTGCTTGTAAGAACATGCTAAGAAAACCTCCCAAGGGTCCAGTCCCTTCTCCGGTGTCTTGGGGCTGTATGACTCCAGTATCCACCGTCTCACCCTTGAATGGAGGCCGAGGGTGAGGAAGACATATTACCTTCCTCTACGTTGGTTGAGCGGTGAGCTGCATGAACCAGCAGCATCTCCAGCCCTGGGACCTTGGTAGGGTGCAGACTATTGCTCTAGCCCCAGACCCACTAAGGCAGAATCTGATTCATATGCACCTTAGTTGTGTCCCTGTTAGAATAAAAATGGGCTAAAGCCATTTACCTGTGTTAAATGTCTCCATGCCTGCTTCTGAATCAATGATAGATAGCCAAAAAAAGATTTCTGAGGACTCAGTCTTTTTCTTTGTCAATGCTTAACAGAGAAATGTTTTTCTAAATAACTACAAGTAGCTTATTTTTTCAAAACTTTTTTTTAATTGTGGGTGATAGTGATTTTCCACATGTGAGCTAAGCATCACCCACAATTCCTCTGATCATGGTGACAGAACATTTTTTAGATTATAGGTCATATAAACTGAAGGTTTCATTAGCCCTGGAAAATACAATTCTAAAATAGAAAACGATACCAATCGGGATGCTTTAGTTTTAAAAATATGAAACTGTTCTGTGGGTTGTAAAAGTTTGCTAAAAGGTCTTCTTGACATTTATAATTCTCTTCCCAGTAGCCCTTTAACTAGAGACAATTTAAAAGTAGTTTGCTGTGAGTTCAAGAGTTTAGAAATGTTTTTTTTCCCCCTTTTATTATTCTGCAGTCTGCGCTACCATAGCTGAGGAAAAGGAGAGGAAAGGGGGCCTTCTATCTTCTGCAGTCTCGAGTGAGGGTTGAAACTTAGGGCCTCTGTGGTGATGCTTTAGGAAAAAAGATCAGAGATGCAGATGTATCTGTGACTTGGAGATTTAGTGAGGTCCTTGTTACGATGAATATTGTGGACCTTCTGGATAAATATGTCCAGTGTAATTATTAAGCTTTAAAAATGCCAAAAGAAAAAGAAAGGAAAAAAAAAAAAAAACCTCACATTTGGAGCTCTGCATCTGGAAGCCTTTTTCTCCCCTTAGGAAATATTTGTGGCTCTTTGTTCCTGTCATGGAGGAAAATGTGCTTGTAAATTTCACCCAAGAGAAAGCATATCTTTGCATCCACCACATCAGGAAGGAATAGGTACAATCCCACAAACATATGCCAAAATCTCCAGAAATTTGACCAAAGCCTGGGGGAGGGGGCTTGGGGGAGGTGGGAGGGGTGGAATCATGCAAGAAAAGCAACCCAGCCCGGCAGAAAATTTGCCAGCTGAGGATGTTGTCTGTGCCAACCTTGGCCTCAAAGAAAACACTCCACCCTCTTAAAACTGCTAAGATGGCAAGGAAGGCAGTGCCTTCTCTGGCCATCAGACCTCCCTGGACAAATGGATGCCTCCAAGAGCGGCCAAAGCAAACTTCCCCCTACATGTTAGACATACATCTATATGCACAGAGGTCAGTCTTGTGTGTCAGGTAGTTGCTTGCAGTGTGAAAGGAGCCAGGGAAATCACCCCATAGTTTCTCTGACTGCCTATCTGGGTGCCTAAAATTCAACCAGTATTGTTCCTTTCCCTTTTAGTCAGGATATATGCTCACCCTAAAATTTCCTTGTGATGTTAAGTAACCCCAGGGTGGGGGGGCATCTCAGAGTTTCATCCAAGACTCTTTTGTATTAAAACCTGAGGTCTTGTTCCTAGCACCGGGACCCCTAAGGCAACGATTCAAATGAGACAGGGTGATTCCTTTGTTCCTGCTGCCCACGCTTCCTTATTCTTACTTCTTAACGGGGGTATGAACTGTTTTTACACAACACAAAGTAATTTGCTCTCCAGGTGAGGCGGAAGAGAAGAACTGATGGTTTATTTTCCCCAATGTTTGCTTCCTGACTGTGAGGATGGGCTCACCTGGAATTCCTTAGAGCTGCCCCACCATGCCTGGAATCCAAGACTGTCAAAGTGGTTTCCCCCATTTGGGGAGCAAACCCACTCCTTGTATGGGGGACCTCTGGATATCAACTGTTGCCTTATCAGTTAGGGACAGAGTAGCACCTGGAGTTTGAGAGCGAGCCAGTCACTCTGCATATTTTAAATGCCCTCCCTTACAACCCATACAGTTAGAACACTTTATATTGAAATGCTTCCTGAGGTGAAACCCTGTACTGTAACCAGAAGTCTCAAGGGAAGCATTTATTGCATTAGTCTTAAAAAAAAAAAACACTCTTATGATGAATTAAATCTGTTACCTTGAATATTTAATTCCTACCATACATAATTTTAACCATCCCTTCCAAACAATTTGTTTTCATTACAAGGCTTAATGACCATCTCCTCTTGCCAGAATCACAATAGCCCTTAAAGAAGGAAATGTTTAGCATCCCCCCAGTAATACTAAACAGAGCTCAGCAGTTAGAGGTGAATTGGGGAACCTTTGCTTTGTTGGTTTGGGTAGCTCAGATGTGGGGTCAGGGCCTGTGCACGTGAGACAGGTGCACACACACACACTTTCTGGAATCTTAGGCTGGGAAGTCTGAGTGGCACTGATTCCTACTTCCGGCTCCTATCTCAGTTTGCAGGCTCCTGACATCAGGTTTCTGCAGTGTGCCAAGCACGAGCTCTCTCCTACATCAAGCCGGGAATGGCAGTGGAACATTCGAAAAGCATCTAGGACTCTTGAGACAATCTCCCTCTAGATAGTGTCTTTGGCCCCTTTTGCCTCCTTCAAGCTTCTCTTCCTGTCTCCTGGGACTTCTTCTACCCTCCTGAGGTACCTCCCCTGGCCTGCACCGGGTGCTCCCCCAGCCCTGCTACCGCCACTGTGGGACACATCCCATAGTCTTTAGAGACCACTCTCCTTGCCTCAACCTCCTGGCCCTTCCCTTTTCTCCAGCCTTGCCTCCAACTCAACTTCTGTTCTGGTTCTTCCTTGCAAGCAATATTATACTAATATTTTGTGGTACTTGCAGTTTATAAAATACAGATAATTATGTTGAGCACAAACAATGCTGTCAGGATGGTGTAATTATCCCCATTTGAACATAAAAACAAATGTAAGGCTCTGAGGGTCAGGCTCATTCAGGCTGAAGAATAACTGATGGGTTCATGCTGTTCCACTCTACGTGTTAGGCAGCTACCTCCATCAACAGGGCAGGCTCTGTGACTGCCCGGGCCATGGCGTCTTCTTTAGATCAGTCTACTGGACTTCCCAGGGTCTGCCAAAGCCCCCAAGGTGACATGAGAAAGCTTCTTTCTTGGGTTCCATTATCTCAAGTACATTTATCCATGTATTATACATATATATATATATATATATATATGTGTGTGTGTGTGTGTGTGTGTATCGGATGTTATCTCACCTTTTGTTATCATCACGTGACAGCCTTATGCCTGCTAGAAATAGCCCAGTATCTCCTCAATCATTTTTAGGTGGCTGTATTCATTAGAAAGGTAGTGTCTGAGCCAAAGTGAGTGTTTGAATTGGGTGGGGTGAACCAGCAGCCTGGGTTCCCACTTTGAACAAGGCCTCACTTTGGGCTCCTTGGTAGGCACGAGGGCAAAAGAGTCTCCTCGATGCAGATGCCTGGGAGGGAGATGTGGAGAAGCACGGGGAAGGACCAGTCTGAGCATGGAGGGAAGGGGCGGGGAGCAGATTTTGAGGACCTTGATTTCTCAAGTGATTTCCTGAGACTCATGACACAAGCAATGTCGGGGCGGGTCCCAACTGGGAAGATGTAAAGGAGAGCCGTGGAGAAAGGCATCTTGCAATTTTGATGGAAAGAGCCAGCCTTCTTGCAGTGTTAGGGAAAAATCTGTTGTAAGATGGCCGACAGGACTGATAAGGGAATTCCAGTCCTTGTCAGAAGACTCCCCTTCCGGGATTTCCTTCCTATTCTGCTTGCCACAGGCATCAAATTACTACCAATTAGGGATGCAGAAGTAACAGACTATAAATTGTCCCCTCTGTTGATGCTCTGGGCTCAGATCTCTGGAGAATGATCTCCTCTGGGCCTACTGGTGTAAAATAAATGTCCTACCTCCTTCCTTCCACTTGGTTCTTCTGCCAGGGTGATCCAGACCAGTTTTCTGTAACAGCAGAGGGAAGCTTAAAGGAAGCCCAGCCCACGTGAGCCTTTGAGGGAGACAGTAGGAGGGGGTGTGAAAGCATCTCTCCTCTAGGGGAGCGATGGAGGCCTGAGAAGGAAACCTGGGAAAGTCATCCCAGACTCCCACAAAAATAACTTGGGGCCTCCTTCAGGTGGGGAAAGATCTAGGTCTTGCAACTATACAGGAAGAGGCTATCAATGGTTATATGGTAATAGGGACATCTATTACCATGATTAGCCAGCTCTTGGGTTGCTGAGGTGCAAATATTGAAGAATATCAACATAGATTCAGGCTAACCTTCCCCTTTTTCTTTTTTTCTTTTTCTTTTTCTCTTTCTCATTCTCTTTCTTTTTCTCTCTCTCTCTCTTTCTTTTTTTCAAGTTTATTTACTTACTTTTGAGACAAAGAGAGATCGTGCACAAACGGGAGGGGCAGAGAAAGAGCGTGAGAGAGAATTCCAAGCAGGCTCTGAGCTGTCAGCGCTGAGCCTGATGTGGGGCCTGAACCCACCAACCATAAGATCATGACCTGAGCCGAAGTTAGATGCTTAACCGACCAAACCACCCAGGTGCTCCCTTCCTATTTTTCCTAAACAGTATAGCAACTGCACATTCCCAATTACTGTTTTTGGAAAAAAAAAAAAAAAGTATTTATTTGTCCACATAATGCAGCAGTTATGGGCAAATGTTCTTGAGGATGACTGCCCACTGGGGACTGCCAGCTTTCTTAGCACAGGCCCATGATGGAGCGGTGTGTGGGCCAGCCCAACCTCTCCGGCCCCTGGCCTTGTAACCTCTGACAAACTCCCCTGTGGAACAGAGGCACGTAGGCAGGAGGCGGTGCTTGGATCCTCCTGTGGAGAATTGAGACAAAGAAAACGAGGGGAAAGTTAATTTTCTGCGAGTGTATTTCCTCATTCTCTTTCTCCATGGAGGCTGTATGTCCAGCGGGAAGATAAGGCTGTGTGAACAAGCAGAAGCAGCTGAGCTCAGCCAACTGGATTGAAATCTTCACTCTTACCCAGGGGAATGGTGGGCAAGTCTCTTAAACCCTGTGGAGGACTGGCTGATGGGTAGACAGATGGCTGTAACTGTGGAAGGCAGGACCACATCCCAGTTAAGAACTCTGTGTTCAGACAGTCAGGTGTGAATCCCAGCTAAACTACTAGTGGGACCTGGGGCCAAGTGTTCAACCTCTGTGAGCCTCGGCTTCCTCACCTGCAAATGGAGGAGTGGGCAACTAACTCATAGGGTTGCCGTGAGAATGAAATGAGGAAAACAGATACAAGACCCATTGCTCCTCTCACATTTCATGCACTCAGGAAATATCACTTACTACGGTGGACGTTTTCGATGCACTTGTGTTTATACCTGAGCTGACATTATTTTTTAATGGGTATTTATCTTCATTTTGTTACAAGCTGTTTTTCTTTTTGAGGAGCCATTCCTACCTTTCACTGATCTAAGACCCCCACCCCTAAACTAATTTTTGGCTTAGGGGGTCCCTGTTTTGTGTTCTTTGTGTGAGGACTTCTATTACAGTATTTACCATAGGGCATTTTGCTGGGGTTTATCTCCTTCAGGAAATTCTGGATTGCTTGAGGGCAGAGGCTTTGTTCCCAGAACCCAGCCTTAGTTGGCTTTCACCAAATACTTGTTAGATAAGTATAGAAGAGAATAGATATCCTTATCTAAAAGGAATTTTGATGAACCTGGAAATGGAAGCTTCAAAAAATCCTATCCTACCGTATGTATCAGAATATAAGTGGCCCAGCCTGAAGCTGACCTGTGGGCCAAAACAAAGAGATCTGGTCATGTTTTCTACCTGCAGCAGGAGTGGCTGACTCTGAGGCTGTCCTTTCAACCGGTGGGTTGACCTGGAAGGAGCTCCCCCAGTCTCAGTATAGAAAGAACAAGGGGGTAGCCCTTGGAACTGCTTTATAGAAAATGAAGAACTTGAACTGAGAACTGTCACTACGTGAAGAATTGAACTTGCCTTCTCCCTCTGCAATCAATTTTACTTCTAGATGCTCTCCCCAGACCATCCCCTCTGCTGTTTCCATAACCCTGGAATTCAATTCCTTCTCATTTCTTGTCTGAATTACTGAGTCACCAGGCTTATTGGTGTCTGTCATGCCATCCCATTCTCCATAGTGCTTCTGAGGTGAGCAGTCTATAGAACAGATCTGTCCCCATTCCCTGTCTCTCCCTCACCTGTCATTGTTCAGGGTCTGTTTGCTCCCCCCACTGCTCCCTGGATAAAGGCTGAATCCCTACTCGGGCTCCCTAACTCTTTCAGGGTGGGTCCCTGCTTTCTGTCCATTTCCTCCTTCTCCAGCCCTTCCTCCCACTTCCCTCTTCCTTTTATCTCCAGACATATTAAGCTACAGGATGTTCTAGAGCAGTCCCTTCTCTCAAGTCCATGTTTTCATGTCCTCTAGAAAGTAACCCTTGTCTCCTAGGATAGTTTACCACCCCATCAATTGTTAGATACAAGGAGGTACCCAGATCTTTCCTCCACTGTGGCAATAACCATATTGGATTATAATGAGCTAATTGCTGAATTCATTCATCTAACTTCCATTTATTTCATCTCCTTTTCAATGCCATTATAGTGTGCTTACCAGCCATCTTTGAGATACATGTTAGAGATACATGTACCCATAAATAAGTCAGGAAAAAAATCCTGCTTTCATGGAATTTGCATTCTAGTGGAAGAAAATGAATGATAAATATATGAACAATTTATTTTCCAATAAAAATTTGATACAAATCTTTGAAGGAAATAAATAGGGTGAAATGATGATTAGCTAGTGTTGGGGGTATGTGAGTGGGAAATCAGGGAAGCCTTCTCTGAGGGAGGTGATATTAGAATCGAGTCCAGAAGCACAATGAGAGGAAAGCTATACACAGAACTGGAGATGGAAGATGAGTTCCCGAGAAAGGACTGAGTTTGGCGTGCTGGAGGAAGGAGAGAGAGCCACTCTCCCAGGAGCATGGCGTGAGCCCCCAGTAGACAGTGAGCTCCTTGAGACTCCAAGAGGAATCTCATACCTTACCATGATCATAGGCTCTAGACATACCCAGTGTGATAATAAGTATTTGAATGAGTAAATATGATTTTGAAATTGGCTTTTCTTTGGTTTCCCACACCAAAAAGCTGAAAAGGTCTTCCATTTTTCTAGAGCTTTGACGTGATGATTTGACGTATCAATACATTGTGAAATGATCACCACAAGGTTACTTAACACATCTGTCACCTACATTATCTTTTTTTTTTTTTTTTTGTCATGGGAACATATAAGATCTACCCACTTAGCAAATTTTGAGTATACAATACAATATTGTTAACTATAGTCACATACTGTACATTAGATCCTCAGAACTTATTCATCTTATAATTGAAAGTTTGTACCTGTGACCAACCTCTCCCCATTTCCCCCCAACGTTCAGTCACTAGCAACTACCATTCTACTGTGTTTCTTTGAGTTTGACTTTTAAAAAAAATTCCATATATAAAGGAGATCTATGGTGATGTCACCGTATTAGAGCAGTTCAGGAGAAATTCTCATTGAGAATCAAGGAGAAAAAGTTCTTTTTGAGGAACAAGTTTGAAAACTCTTCCAGAAGGATGCTCAGTAGGGGAAAATTCTTTAAAATAACAATCACAGAAGTGGAGGGAGAGGTTGGTTTATCTTAGAGAGGTTTTTCTTTAGAAGGAGAGGTACTTCAGGGAATAAAAACATTGGCTGCCAAGGAAATTAAGGAGTAAGCAAGCCACAAACATTCAAGACCCTGTCAAGCTGGGGTTGGAGTAGGAAGTTCCTGTGAATCTCTATATAGTAGTGAATGATGATGCAAAATTCATATCTTAACATGGAAAGTTCACAAGGATTTTGATTAATTAGAAGACAACTTTAAAAGGATGTGATTAATGCTGGAAAAAAGAGTGAAAAAAAGGATGTGGTTAAGAGATAACAGAGTCATTTTTTTTTTTTTAATTCACATATTTCACAATGCTTTATTTCTTTGTTTGTTTAAGGTGTTTAGGGGCCAAGGGCTTTCCTCACTATTTCCAAGGAAATTTTTTGCTTGTTTGTTCCTGTTATTTTGGCAGTGCATCTATTTATATTGATAAGAAGAACTACCTAACTAGCCAGGTGAATAAAATGCCTTTTAACCCCAGGGTGATTTTTATCCCGTGTCATGCAGTACTAGACCGGATAGATTTTAGAGAGGATAGGTAGCCATCTTCTCCAAAATGAAAATCAGGGGCGCCCGGGTGGCTCAGTCAGAAGATTAAAAAAAATTAAAAAAAAAAAAAAATCAACACAGAATAGAGTCCAGAAAAGAAACCACAAACAACTCCCAAGAATGAAACTGATAATGGCTAACTCGATGGCTTAATCATGTGCTTTTTAAAAAGATCAGATTTATCTTTATTCACAACAAATTCATTAAAATACATTTATCCAACACCGAGATTATGAAATGTTTCTTTATACGGAGTATATAGCCTCCTTGGAGCATGAGTGCAACAGGAGTCCCAGCTTGAGTCTATGAAACTTTAGACTTTGGAGGGGAGGGGAGAATGAGTTCAGCGTGTCGGTTGTCGCTTAGATTTAACCCCAGGCCTAAGCCTCACTGGAAATGTATCTGAGACGCATAGAGAGAGTGGGGTTATCAGAGAGAAAAACCCTGAGGAGCTTTATTTTAAAACATGACACTAGGGTGGGAACAAAACTGGGGGCTGCACAATGGCAAGAGAGGAATGAAATATTCTTACCTACTTCCCAACACAACACTGAAGCTTTAAGGACTTTGTTGCCACCGCTGCAGCAAAAGGCAGTGGGACCCACAGACATGGCAGCAGGCACAGGTTGCCCAGCGGGTGATGGCGCAGCAGGGAGTGCAGACAGCAAAAGCAGACCCTCTGGGAGCACATGAGGTATACGTCCAGGGGCATCTAGAAGTATTTGAGAGACACAGGCAATTGAGGTCCTGCAGAAGGTAACCGTGGAAAGTGGGTTAGGGGCAAATAAAACTTGGGTTCTTACTAATTTGACTCCATTAGAACCCTCAGGCTGTGGAAGCCTGGGAAAACATGAATTAAATAAAATCCTGAGTTCTGTGTGGGGCAGAAATAAGGAATAATTGAAGTGAAATTAAAGAACAATATGACTTTGTGCAGTGTTCTTCGTATCAAAAGTGGGTAGTTGGATGGAAAAATACATTGAGACCACAGTCCTGTGGTCCATGCAAGTAATGCATGCTCTTATATGTTTTGACTGAATAAAAAGCAAGTTCAAGATGTTACTTGGTGACCTACCATCTCCAAAAAAACTTGTAAAGTAAATTAATTATGGAATTTATAGTTGCAAGCGCATTTTCCCCAGTTCTTCTGGTTTCATGTTTTTTACTCACAAATCTTGTTAACTTCTAATATACTTGTGATGTGGATTCCTTCTTAATGTAGAACACATTTTAATATTCTTGTTTTTGGCAAGATTTTACACAAACATGTTACTTCCAGAAAGTGATTTAGAAAGAAATGTTAATAGAAACACCTTTATAGTATTCATAGGTGTTGAGTCTTTAAAAATACGGGGGATCGGATTTAAAAATTTTTATCATTTCTAAAATTAGCACATTAAAAAACTCTTATCCTGTGTAGTAAATATGCACCATGGAATTGCACAGTAGATAAAAGAGAGATGAATACTAATTTACAATTTTAGTGTTTATTGATTTTTTGAATTACAAAAATAGCATTCTTGTTGTAAAACATGTAGAAAAAGTTGAAACACATTAGTAAAAAAATAAACCACAAACCATAATCCCAACCTGTTAAAGG